ATGTCCGAATACTTCCTGCGTCGCGCGACACAGTCCTTGCTGTATAAATTTGCATCGGATTTAAAGGCAATGTTTACGTATTTGAACCGGATGCGTCCTGATATCAGTGGCAACTGATCACGGGCCGGCGAAGAATGCCGTCCGACATAGTCATTGCTGTAAAAATTTGCAATATTTGGGGTGCAAATTTTGAGATTTGGGAGCTGTGATCAGTCGCCACTAATCGCAGGCCGGCGAGGGGTGCCGTCCGTCACCGTCCTTGATGTAAAATTTGCAAAATTTGGATGGTATTGAATTGTGATTATACTTTGGTGGGAAATGATACCTAGTGTCGTACGGCACCCCTGTCAGGCATGTAATCAGCGGCGGCTGATCACACGACGCCAACGGAGAGTTAGAACTAATTAAAATACGTAAATAATGCATTTGCACAGGATACAGAAAGTACAGCAGGAACACGTATATGTTTGTTCAAAAATGATGCAAATATGCACCAGGGTCATAAAGACAACTGTGTTTTGAGAAGTACGCAAATTTTTTACAGCAATGACGGTGTCGTACGACACCCTTGCCGGCCTGTGATCAGTGGCCACTGATCACAGCTCCCATCCTGCAAAATTTGCCACCAAATTTTGCAAATTTTATACAGCAATGACGATGTCGTACGACACCCCCTGCCGGCCTGTGATCAGTGGCCACTGATCACAGCTCCCCACTGATCACAGGTCCTAACTCTCAAAATTTGCATCAATATTTTGCAATTTTATACAGCAATGACGGTGTAGTGCGACACCCCCTGCCGGCCTGTGATCAGTGGCCACTGATCACAGGACGCAACTCACTTCACAACCACCTTTTTCAACGTCCACCTCTCATAGACAAACAAGTATTTATAAGTGGCGACAATTCGTGTCCGCCCCAGTCACTGAAAAAGCGTCGCTTTCGTACGACAACAACGCACCTTCACGAATACTGCAGAGAAAATGGGACTACAATATAGAGTATAGGGAAGGAAACCCCAAAAATCTTTTTAAAGACACTTGTTTACATAAACAGATAGAGGGAAGAGGAGATGCAGCCAGAGAGGCGGAGAGGGAGGGATAGAGAGAGAGAGGGATACAAGGAAGAGAGATGGACACAAATATAGAGAGATGGACACACACATAGATAGATGGTCACCATAAAGAATTGGATAAACATATAGAGAGATGGGTATAAACATAGAGAGAGACAGAGACAGAGACAGACAGAGAAATACAGAGGGAGAGACAGAGAGGTTTATCCAACCATTTGTGCAATCGGTGGTATGCACTCCATTTATTGTCCAGCTAGGCATTATGGAATTCTAAAGGAGGTGATGGTTACTTAGTCAATATCGTGCCACCGTTAATTTTCTCAAACAATTAGACCAATGGCAGTAGGATGACTAATTCTACTTTAGTGGTCCTTGTCTACTTTACGAGCGGTCCTGGGCGAGTAAGGTGATTCCTTACCGGCTCAGGTGCACCTTGTCAATAAACAAACACTTTCATATGTGATCTTCGTGATCCCCTCACACCACTCACACAAAGCCATCACAAAATGCACATTGCCATCACAAAATGCACATTATCAGTGTGAGAGTTTTTATTTCAAGGTTGACGTTTGAGAGTTTTGAGATGCGTCTCACAAAACCGTCGCAAAAGATTCACGAAAATGTGTGATGTTTGAGACGATTTTTGTCATGATCACAAAACGTTCTCAAAAAGTGCTACAATTCAACAAATAATCACAAACCATATGTGACGAATAAGAAGATGGAGTGAGACGAATGAGATGAAGGCGGCGAAAAGAGCAAAACTCTCACAAATCGTCACACAAATCGTCTCACTTTTTGTGACGCCCTAAATCGTCACAAAACGGAGCACAGGGATATAGTGCCATCCCCCCAATAGTGCCATAGCTAGAGGTATGTCACGCTATAGCACTATATCGTAGGAGGCACTGTATACGATTCCGTATCATAATCGGCCAATCATCATCCACCAGCTTCTCGCACGTGTAAAACATTGCGTTTTGGTCACCACGTGTAATACATTGCATTTTGGTCGCCACGTGTAAAACATTGCATATCGATCCACACGTGTAATACATTGCATTTGGGTCCACACGTGTGATGTGTTTGTCGCGCGACAAGATCTACAAAAGCTGTATGGGTGGCTACCCATACTAGAATCAACCTCTAAAAAATTAACAAAAATTAATCTAGTTCCAGTATGGCTGTCCAGCCATACAGCTTTTGTAAATCTTGTCGCGCGACAGCCATTACATATTACAGGGTCGCTCAATAGTGCCTACTTTAGTAGTGTTTCCCTCTATATAGTGCTATGGCTCACTCTCTGGCACAGGTTTTCATACGCTCTGGCACAGGTTTTCATACGCTCACATGTATCATCCGGCATGGTTCAGTACTCAAAGGATGAAGTTATTTAGTTGTGTTATACAGGCTTTGTTGTGTTTGTGTTAGCAGTGTGCATTGTCCCCAAATATATGTATTTGAGCCTCCTTTCTATAGTGCCAACCTCCTAATAGTGCCATAGCTAGAGGTATGTCACGCTATAGCACTATATCGTAGGAGGCACTGTATACGATTCCGTATCATAATCGGCCAATCATCATCCACCAGCTTCTCGCACGTGTAAAACATTGCGTTTTGGTCACCACGTGTAATACATTGCATTTTGGTCGCCACGTGTAAAACATTGCATATCGATCCACACGTGTAATACATTGCATTGGGTCCACACGTGTGATGTGTTTGTCGCGCGACAAGATCTACAAAAGCTGTATGGGTGGCTACCCATACTAGAATCAACCTCTAAAAAATTAACAAAAATTAATCTAGTTCCAGTATGGCTGGCCAGCCATACAGCTTTTGTAAATCTTGTCGCGCGACAGCCATTATATGTTACAGGGGGGTTGCTCAATAGTGCCTACTTTAGTAGTGCTTCCCTCTATATAGTGCTAGTTATTTAGTTGTGTTATACAGGCTTTGTTGTGTTTGTGTTAGCAGTGTGCTTTGTCCCGAAATATATGTATTTGAGCCTCCTTTATATAGTGCCATCCCCCCAATAGTGCCATAGCTAGAGGTGCTTGTCATTCTTGACATTGTGAGCGCGAAAGACGCGGGGAAAGTATATTGAGGGGTGCTGTTGCGGCAATTCTGCCGCGGGGCACCGAGCGACCTGTAATGACGGGAATCCACCCGTATTCTTTTACTCCTCACAAGTCTGCTGCCTCCCCCTTCCTATCTTCGGGGATGGCTTCTTAAGTACACGTTCCCCGGGATGAGTCGGCTATCCCCAACCCTCCCTCCCGTAATTTCCCCTTCGATCCAGCTTCCCCTTGCCCCACCGGTAGCCACCCCCTCGTGCCATTTTCCCTTCGCGCCCTCGGCCGGCGACCTGCGCGGTCTTTCTGCCCCAGCCAGAGCCCCGTGCGGCCTATGGTTTCCCTTCGTCTCCCCGGTGGCTGGCACCCCCAATTCCCCGCGCGTGCTGTCTCGCTCCCTCCTTCCCGCCTTTCGCTTGCCCGTCCTTCGGCGGTATACGGATGCGCTCCGCCCCGTGGTACGCGTGTCCAGCCGCCACCTGGCAACCGAATGCCTCGTAACACTGCTTGAGACACACAGCAATCTCACAAAACTGGGCTTCGTCTCGTTGAAAAATTACGGAAGATGGTTGGTGTGGCATTGAAATTGAATTTTTTCATTCTTTTGAGATTGACCGGTGTTTTGAGTAATCCCACGACCTCAAATTGACCAAGCAAAGTCCCAGGGCACACATCAGTGCAGATTGCAGCACAAGCAGTTGAGGACACCAAGTACAGCTTTTCGGCTCCAGCTTCAAGTACGTCTTGCCGCCACAATTTTCGATTTCCTGCTTTAGGACGTGCACAGCAGTCAGAAAACAGTCATAGAGGCTTCGTGAGACTGGAGTCTTGAAGCATTCAAGCGTCACCCTAGAAAGGCTGCACTCCAGAATACATTTTGCTTGCTTTGCATCATTCTCACCTCCAATCAATCGTTTCGGGAATAGGCCAGGCTGGTCGCATTAGAAGAAATCCCTCCGTGTGTAATCATGGCTTCTCAGAAGACAGCGTTTGAAGTCTCGAGCCCATTGGCGAGACCCATGAATTCACGCATTTCTGTGCAACTCCAAGAGAGCCCGTGCCAAGCACTTCAGAGTCGCAGGACACAGAAGGTCGCAAGGCAGAATATCGATGCAAATGGAAGTGGACAAAAGCAGTAAGCAACGAGATAACTCCAAACCCCGGCAGACTCATATTTCCCCGGAATTGGCAAATCAAGCCATTAATGATGCTATTACATACTCAGGTGGGGACGTTGTGGTTATGGCTAGAACCTGTGCAAGTGGATTTTGTGATGCATTACAACAATGCTATGGTTCAGAAGAAATATCAGATGTGTTTACTGCTTGCGGCTCAGGTTTAAACGGCTTAATTGGATTGCAAGTCGCTGTAGAGCTGCAGAAGAGAGGTTATGCACCAGCGGTCTATGCTGCAGAGCAATCTAAGCATGCTAATTTCCGATATGTCTGCGATGAAGCCGGAATCGACTTGCACGACTTCATTCCCAGCACGCTAGAGTTTTATTATGACATTGTTGTAGATGCCTTGCTTGGAACTGGCTTTGATGGGGGGGACATTCGACAACAGTACTGGACTGTTTACGAGATGCTAATCTCAACTCGGCTTGCGATTGTGAGCCTTGATGTACCATCTGGCTGGGATCTTTCGACGGGTCCAAGAAAAATTGATGTGACAGCAGATTCGTTTATCAAACCCGAAGTGCTAGTGTCTTTAGAAGCACCAAAGCTTGGATCAAATGTGTTTGCCGGGGGCTACCACTTTATAGCTGGTCGACATCTTCCTCAAAGCTACTTTTGGAAAAGGGAATCTCTGTTCCGGCTTTTCCCGGCGAGGAGTCAAACTGCGTGCTCATGTCAAGTAACCCGTTTCGCTTCGAAGGTGCTAATGGAGAGACATATGGGCGACCTGGACAATTCAATGCCACGCTCTACACGAAAAACCCTACCCGAGAATGGGTCGATATTGACAAGCACGATGACCTGTGGGACGAACTAGACTGGCATTAGAGTGTGCTCAGTGAGTTTAAGAGTGGAAATCATTGTCAAGTGCTATACAGGGACTCTAGCTGCGAAAAAACGCTGTCTACTGGCCAACTTTTTTGCTTAACGCGACGCGCCACATAATGTAATTCGACGTGGCCTGCGTCAGCGCGGAAGCTGTGACTTTTCCTGTTTGTCGCCATACGAACCCACACGCAACACCGGTGACACAGGCGGAGGCCATGTATCGAACGTTTGGCGGGTCATATCCAAGTTTTGATTTCCCTAAGTGTGCAATGCCGAAGGCACCAGACGCGATGAGTAGTGCAGATATGGACCCGTGGCCTAGGCGTTGCTCCAACATATTCTGATTCATACCCCTAAATATAAGCTCCTCGGTAACGCCGTTCATGAATATGCCTAGGAAAGTGGCGGCTTCTTTGGCCGCGTCTAAACGAGGTGGCGTCTTGACGTCAGCAAACCGGGTTAGGGCGGCAAGTGGAACGGTGATGAGATCAGAGGCAGCACCCACGGCTAGCGCTATCAGCACATCGACTGGGGTTACCTTGAAAGTGTAGCCCAAGTCACGAGCGTGGGCCAGCTTTGAAAAGGGCGTAGAATTGTGAAGCAGTTCACGACTGTCAAAGCTGCGGTGAACAAGCCCCAGGCTGTAACCTTTCCAGTCGGTGATATGTCCGATGACAACAGCTTAAATTCCAGTGGAAGCCAGATGCAAAGAACGGTAATCAGGTCGGCCATTTCGGAGCGAAGCGATGAGTGGTCGTCTGGCTTTGTGAGCTGAAGCAGTGACGGGATGAGGATATACGCTACCTAAATTGCCAAAATAGGGACTGCGCGGCGGCGACCGTCCATGATGTTGGGTGCACCGGCGAGGCACACTGGAACCAAAACTAATAGCGCCGTCCAAGCTGCTTGCCATCCATGTCCAAATTCGTTGACAAATGTCGAAGAAGAGTAAGCCAGGAATAAAAGAGTCCAGCACATCGAGGCTGAGGACTCCAAAGTATGGGCTCGGCCGCCTGATTCTGGCATTTTTGGAAAGCCGCGGTCAGTCATTGGCTCCATGCTGAAGGATGGAACGAAGATTCTACTCGAACAGTGAGGTACAACACGGTTGAAGCTGTTTCAATTGTCTCTGCGGTAGCCGGAAAACGCTCTTGTAGAAAGCAGGGTTGCCTTGAGCACTTTGTCGTTGCTCGCTGCGATTTTTGCGTTTCTAAAAGGTTTACTAGGAAGGTACTCTTGCTGGGCCTTGCACTTGTTCGGGTGTGTGTGAACATCCGCACACGTTGCAAACTTACAGTGTATGCAGGCGTAGTAGATACCGGCCAGCATGGGCAGAACGGACCGGTTGCAGGGGGGGGTCGCTCAATTGTGCGTACTATAGTAGTGCTTCCCTCTATATAGTGCTATGGCTCGCCCTCTGGCACAGGTTATCACAAGCTCACACGTGTATCATCCGGCATGGTTCAGTACGCAGTACAGCTATCCATGCTGTCTTAAAGGAGACCCTGACCAAAGGATGTTGTGTTATGCAGGCTTTGTTGTGTTTGTGTTACAAGTGTGCTTTGTCCCCAAATATATGTATTTGAGCCTCCTTTATATAGTGCCATCCCCCCAATAGTGCCATAGCTAGAGGTATGTCACGCTATAGCACTATATCGTAGGAGGCACTGTATACGATTCCGTATCATAATCGGCCAATCATCATCCACCAGCTTCTCGCACGTGTAAAACATTGCGTTTTGGTCACCACGTGTAATACATTGCATTTTGGTCGCCACGTGTAAAACATTGCATATCGATCCACACGTGTAATACATTGCATTTGGGTCCACACGTGTGATGTGTTTGTCGCGCGACAAGATCTACAAAAGCTGTATGGGTGGCTACCCATACTAGAATCAACCTCTAAAAAATTAACAAAAATTAATCTAGTTCCAGTATGGCTGGCCAGCCATACAGCTTTTGTAAATCTTGTCGCGCAACAGCCATTACATGTCATTTCAAAGAAACTTGTCAGCGCATGCAGGCCTGCGCGGTATACCCTTCCCTAAAAGCATTATTTGGTAAAAAAGGCTAATTTGATGATTCAGTTCTCGTTGCTGCCAGTGCGGACAATGGGTGCAGTCTTTCATCCCTAGACTCCAGGGAAACGCTCCGGGGCCTAAGTGTTCACCTCTTCTACAGTTTCCCGCAATGTTACCTCCGTGCCTCTCCGTGTCCCGCCAAAAAAGAAAATAGCCGGCACACAACACCTTTAAAGGCCAAACAGTAGTATTTGATCCACGATCAAACACTTTCTCGTCATGTTCACGAACCAGGCCTCCAGTTTCCCGAAATGTTACCTCCTCGCTTCTCCCCGTCCCGCCAAAAAAATGGTGGGCACACAGCACCGTTAAAGGCCAAACAGTAGTAATTGATCCACGATCAAACACCTTCTCGTCCTGCTCCCGGGATTGGCCTCCAGCTACGGACAATTCACGCCCCCTCCGATGTCAATTGGAATGCGTCGTCAGGCAGCGCGCGCGAAGCAAGGGACAGACGGGACGCAAGGGCCAAACACAAACGGCAGACAGCAGTAAATTTATTGAAGATGAAAAAAAGGTTGCCGATGTGGTTCGCCTCACAGTCGACTGTGAGGCGAACCACACTGATGATCATCAGTCGTGGGACAGCAGACCGATTACAAAAATGTCTCAAGACCAAGGACGACGACAAACTGTCCCGCCTTCTTGACCCAGCCAACAACCGTCCCGGAGCCCCCCGTTTCGTCAAAGCGGACGAGGACAAAATCATTAAGCAGCGCATTAAATACACTGCCTCCCGGGGATTTGCAATTAACAATTATACATTGCGAGCTATCATGGCTCGCATTGCCAATGATGGTCGACGCGGTTTTCAGACGAAGGACAACATGCCCTCCCCGGACGTTATTCGTACCTGGAGAATCCGAAACAGGGATATCACGTTTCCAACAGCCGATCCCACGAATCTTCTAATCCTAGTTACTCCCCGACTCCTCTAAATCTCCGAAGCACTGCGAATCCCTAAAGTACAAAAACCATCCTACTCCTTACTCCTGAATCCCCTGCCGGCCTGTGATCAGTGGCCTCTGATCACAGCTCCCCACTGATCACCGGTCCTAACTCTCAAAATTTGCACCCCAATTTGCAAATTTTATACAGCAATGACGATGTCGGACGACACCCCCTGCCGGCCTGTGATCAGTGGCCACTGATCACAGCTCCCCACTGATCACCGGTCCTAACTCTCAAAATTTGCACCCAAATTTTGCAAATTTTGTACAGCAATGACGGTGCACCGGTTGACAAGGAGAGTGGGTGTATGGTGAGGAAAACGAAAAAGTTAAGGATCAGACTGGCTGCAGGAACTAGAGAGGTGTAGGGACACGGACTTCGAAAGGTGGGGATACATAACGTGCCCCCTTGCAACAAGCCCACAAAGGTAGCAGACCTGAATTTTGTTTGCAATAACGATACAGTTTATATGTCGCAACTACGGATATAGAGGCCGGCGCAGAGCTTATAGTCAGTGCATAAAAGTATGCAGAGCTGTGTGGTAGTACTAAAAACTGTTGAATAAAGACCAGAGTTCTTGTTCCGCACATATACTTATGCCTGACGTGGCGGATACCCTTCCTTTCGCCCCCACACTTGATAAATTCCACCGTCTGGGAGACTCCTGTGTTGTACTACTGAGTTTGATGTGCATATGAGACACATATGGTCGTCGCTTTCGGCGCTGTCCTGCTCGCAGTAGTGCATAACTAATGCCTTTCGAACGTAGCTTCCAAGCTCAACCAGCGCTCTTCTTTCGTTTCGTTGTTGTATCATCACCCCGTATCCATCTTCTTCAGCTTCGCACTCCTTCACTGCGCAATATCGTGTTGTTTCTTGACTTTCTTTCTCACGAGCGTCCAGAATCCGGACTTGAACCACGGCTAGCACCATCCAGAACCTTCTGTCCTCATCATGCTCAGAATCATTGTTCTCATGAAGAGTGAATGTGAGATCAGGATCTGCGGTCGAAACTACAGAAGAATGCAAGGCTTGAATCACGCTCCCATAAGATATAGTGGCCAAAACAGATGTCTGGTCTCTTTTTCGCCCGTCTGTTATTTTGCACCACTTGGCAGTTCCATATATCTGTACGGTTACGGAATTTCCATGGTCCGGCCGGCCACTTCGAAGACGTAGCTTTTGTTTCCATAAATGCTCTAAAAACTCCCTTGCTTTCAACAGAAATGCAAGGTCAGTTGATTGGAACATTTCCGAATGTTGACCTCCGTCTGCAGTGTTTCCGAGGTTCATAATTACTGAATTGTCTACGCGCCAGTCCTTCCTACTGAGAGACGACGATAAGAGTCCTTTCCGATGTAATCGAAGGTTCTGCAGAACAGGAGTTGGGAAGCAGTCCTGAAGCTTTTGTAGAAATCTTCCCGCATCCTGAAGCCCAGAACTGTCGTAGCCCAAGAGATTTAAAACCGACTTCGCTGTCTCAAAACTCCAGCCGTTCTCACTAGTGTCAATGCCTTCAGTTTCAATTGCCAGACGAGTCTTCCAGTCGTTGGCAAGACGATGTTCCATAGCCTGTAATTGTGAGTTTTTCATATTGGATTGAGCTACCCCCCTCTTCAATGGCTGATGAGCGCTTTCAAACAACAACTCTTGTACATGTCTTACACTACCGAACAGTGGCAATGTATGTGTGAAGAACTCCAACAATCTGTGAAGGTTTGGTTTGTCCAAATGAGTGGAGGCAAAGCTGTTTGTGCGACACAGCTTATCTACTCGAGATAGGTAACGAAGTGCCATATTACGAATCTCCAGAAGTCTCTTGGTTCCTCGTTCTTCATTGTGTGTGTCTAATGACCTCTTACCATCTATCCTTGAGTCCGGAAAGTACTGTGTTCTGCTCACGAGAGAGGAAAACAGGTCGAGGAGGTCGAGAGCTTCATCGATAGTAGCACAGTTTCCGCTCTC